GTTGTCAGAATGGTGATCAATGAGATTGCACTCGGAGCATAGACGATCCAAGCCACCCTCTTCCTCTCCTAGGTCCGTGTTGAAGTCCCCTGCTACCATTACCAGATGCCCTTTTGACTGAAGATCTTGGACGAAGCTAACCAAATCATTTTGCGTGATGTTTGCGTAGATTGTGGGGTTCTTGTCTTCCTTCCTTGGTGTTACAGGCCGAAGAGTTGAGTTGCATATGTTGTTGGCCCACTTGGCCTTGTGTATGGATCAGTTTTGACCACTTGGTAGGTTGTATGACTGTCCTGTGCAATACACGGCTCCTTAGCCTTATTCGCGACTCGATCCTAGATAGGTTTGAGTTCGACTCATGACGTAGTCCTCGCGAATAGTCATTGAGACAGGGTTTCTCATGACTGCTAGTCATATAGGTGATCGATGAACAACGCTCTAGATATTTAGCAGGCGTGGAAAGCTTCCACGCTATAGACAGCTACTAGCTGAAGTTTCCACGTGTCCGGAAATGGACCGTGGGAGTACGTAGAGTTATTAGCCATAACCTACGATATCCACACTTCAAGGCCTCCCCGCGGGAGACCACTTCATGAGCTTCCACACGATCTCTCTCATGGATTGTTTTCGTAGCTTTCTAATCTCTCTCATAACTTTCATTCCTCAAACTCAAAACTACTCGAAAGATCTTTACACTAGCTTTTAGCGTAGTGCATTTTGTTAACAAACACAATAGCTTTCAGCAACCCTCAACCTATTCCTTCACCATGAAGATTGCTCAAGGAAAGCATGCGTTCACCAACTTCGAGAAACAGTTGCGTGACAAACCCATTCTTCCTCTCGTGGACAACGACGAAGAAGCCGAGATCGACGATACTCGTGCAACCACTTACAAACTTCGCACCGTTCCTGCAGATGCAAACAGTGCCAAATATACCTTCAAGGTAGGCATCATCAATGGTTCCAACACTCCGCGTCAGACCATCAAGTGGGCTACGAATATGGAGAAGGTCTTCGTTGGACTCAACCTTGCCAATGCCGACGATTAACATCGCCTTCTCAAGGAGATGACTTCCAGCTCTGCGAAGAGTGCCTACGAAGCTGGGTGTGCAGGCCATCGTGCAGTGCGTCATCACGCCCTACGACAAATTGCTGTGAACGCAATTCCTCCACGCGATGTGACTTCTGGAGAAACCGAAGTCCAATTCCAAGCTCGTGTCCAAGCCGCATGGGACGGTGCAGCGGAACTCGCTCTAAGCGATGATGACATCACCTTTGGAATCAACGCGGTTATCGAAGCAGCCTGTCCTTACAAGGCTCTCGAAAAACAGAAACACTTCATGCGTCGCAAGATGCGTAAGCCTAGCGAGATGACAACTCGCGCCTACATCAACAACCTCACTCGGATGAACACCGATGAGCTTCCACGTTTGCCACCTGAACCAGGACGAATTCATCGACATCATCTGTCATGGCATTCCTCGTTCCTGGATGCGCAAGATGGACGAACACGACTTCGATCCTTTCACTGCCGAGATGACAGCGCTCATTGGATTCTGTGAGCGCATGGAATCCGCCGAAGACTTTGACAAAGGCAGTGATGCCAAGCAAGTTCCTTCGAAGAAGAACAACAGCAAGAAGTACAAGTCTACTCGCAACAACGACCATTCTTCCAAGAGCGAAGAAAAGTGGTGTGATTACCACGAGTCCAGCACTCACAATACTGCTGATTGCATGACTCTGAAGAAACTCAAAGCCAAGTCCTCGTCTGACAACGATAGCAAGCCAGCGTACAACAAGAACAAGACTTGGAAACGCAAGTCTGATGACGCCAAGTCCTACACCAAAAAGGAACTTTCGGTCCTTATGAAGAAAGTCTCCAACGCTGCGGTCAAGGCGGATCGCAAGAAGAAAAGCGAATGCAACCATGTTGCCAAACGCAAGTCGGACGACTCTGACAACGAGGATGACTCCTCTGTCGGGTCCCTCAACATGATGGACAAGAAAATGGCTGCAGTCGACAAGGCTCTTGCCGACTTCGACTTCAATCATTCAGATGGAGAAATCTCTATCTGAGGATTAGGCCAGGATGATGACTCAACGGAACCATGTTCCGATTTCTCATACCAAAGTGATGAAGATATCTCACTAACTAGTAAACAAGAATTGTTTGCAACTGATGAAGTCTACGGCAAATTAGATAATTGCCTAGCTGCTCAACTAGATTCTGACGATCTATCTAGCATTGTTAACCTCGTCCGTGGCCAACCACCTCGTCAACGTCGCAAGACAAGAGAACTCAAAACTATCGTATATGTTAGATTTAACAGACGAGAAAAAGGGAAACAAAAACCCATTACACTCCGTTGCTTACTGGATACAGAAGCATCTGGAACCTTGATTACCCAAATTCATGCTGAGACATTAAGCATGAAGGATCATGGGGGCGTCCAAATACAATGGACTACCCCTGTAAAGGAATTAAACCCCAGCACGAAGTGTAAGGGTGCGCTTATGACTCCTGAGTTCCACGATGATAGAATTATTGAATGGAACTTGCACGCCACCAAGAACTTGGGGGCGTATGACATGATCATAGGTCGAGACATTCTCTCCGATCTAAGAATCAAATTCGATTTCACTAAATGCGAACAACCTGACTTAAGACAGATATGCCAGAGTCAAAACCAGGTAGCTAAGGAAGAGCAGGAACCGCTTCATGCCTTATTGACCAAGTGCTCCGACCAATTCGAAGGTACTTTAGGAAAGCGACAAATGGACAACTACGAAGTAGAACTTCGTCCTGACGCTAAACCCTATCACGCTAGGGCTTACCCTACTCCATGTGTCCATATCAACACTCTTAAGACAGAGGTCGAACGTCTCTGCGACGCAGGAGCACTTAAGAAGACAAACCGTTCCGAGTGGACGGCACCAACATTTATCATTCCCAAAAAGAATGAATCTACACGGTTCATCTCTGACGCCTGGGAACTAAACAAAAGGATTGAGCAAAAACCTTGTCCGATCCCAAGGATACAAGACATGCTACTGAATCTAGACGGATTCAGGAAATACAAATACCAACGAGTACCGATGGGCCTATGCAATAGTCCCTACATCTTCCAAAGGAAGATGGGAACACTCATGCACGACTTGGAAAATGTCCGTGCATACATTGATGATCAACTCATCCTAACTAACGGCGATCTAGTAGATCACGTTGAATAGTTAGATGAAGTTCTCCTAAAGGCTTCGAGAAGCCGGACTTAAGATCAATGCTACCAAGTCCTTCTTCGAAAGAAGAGAACTTGAGTATCTGAGCTACTGGATTACTCGAGAAGGAATCCAACCCGTAACCAAGAAAATAGATGCGATCCAGAACATCGCTCCTCCTACGAACAGGAAGAAACTTGGTAGATTCATTGGACTAGTGAACTACTATCGAGACATATGGATCAGACGATCACATGTACATACAACGTCGGGGATCCCAAGAAAAGGAATCCCTGTCCATTTCATTGCTTGACAATAATTGATCCCGTAACCGAATGGTTCGAGATGCCGAGATCTGCTCCAATGCAGCAGACGAAGTAGCCATCGTTCTAGAACAGACGTGGCTCACCCAGTACCCATGGCCTGCTGAGGTTATCATGGATAGCGAACGTGAGTTCCGCGCAGAAGTCAAGAAGACACTCCGGGATGAATATGGACTTCGTCGCAAGTTCATTACCACACGTGTTCAATCGTGACGCGATTCACAACGTCCGTTTCGAAGTAAACTGGAAACACATCAAAGAACGTCGCCAACAACTCATCCAGAAACACACTGATAAGGAAAACGCGACGCGTGTCCCTCATCAATACAATGTCAACGATACTGTGAGGTTTCAACAGTATCAGCACCGCAAGCACGGTCAGCCAAAGTACAAAGGTCCTTACAATATGGACCGAGTCAATAACAATGGCGCTGTACGGCTCCGACATGCTACCGCCAATAGCGGCACAGTCTACCAGACTTGGAACATAAGGTATTTACACCCATACAAGGCCTGATCCCCTTGTAGGATTGCCATCGTGCGACCCACATGTCTACATCCAATTTCCGGAGAGTGCCCCGCACTTTAATTCATATGTTCTCCTTGTCCGACTGATGTCGTGCCTTCTGTGACCCTTGTCAGAGGGCGAATGCAATACACGGCTCTCAGCCTTATTCGCGACTCGATTCTAGATAGGGTTTGAGTTCGACTCATGACGTAGTCCTTCGCGAATAGTCATTGAGACAGGGTTCTCATGACTGCTAGTCATACTAGGTTGTCGATGAAACATCGCTCTAGATATTTAGCCGGCGTGGAAAGCTTCCACGCTACTAGACAGCTACTAGCTGAAGTTTCCACGTGTTCCGGAAATGGACCGTGGAGTACGTAGAGTTATTGCCATAACCTACGATATCACACTTCGAGGCCTCCCGCGGGAGACCAACTTCAATGAGCTTCACAACGATCTCTCTCATGGATTAGTTTTCGTAGCTTTCTAATCTCTCTCATAACTTTCATTCTCTCAAACTCAAAACACTCGAAAGATCTTTACACTAGCTTTTAGCGTAGTGCACCTGGGAGACTCTCCTTTGCACCTATATGTCGTGTACACCCATCTTCCAAATTCGTCATTGCCTTGGTCCATGATTCGCCCCTGATGATGACCTGTTGTAAGTTGCAAGATTCCACCAGGTTTCCTGGACTTGTCGGCTTTGATCGGAGTGGAGTGGGCATTCAATTTGAATGCATCCTTGTGCCCGAATGATTGTGTCGCGTCCTCCTTAAGTCGGCTTCTAACATATTGTTTTGTTGTGTCCAATTTTGTTTCCCCTAACATCGAAATGTCGACTTGCATATCTTGCATTGTTTCACACATATTGAACCACCCCCCCTGTCTGCTTATGTTGATTCCGTTGGCATTGATGTAATAAAAGCGTGTTGTTGTAAGATCTTTGGGTATTGTCAAGGTATGTCCCACTGCATCATTTGGATTGTTGTCCGTTGGAAGTATGAGGACCCTCCATCACCGCCCGTGCTTGGGGCGCTGATGTTGCTTTTGTCGTGTTCTTCCACTGCTGCAAATTTGTCATCCAGGTTAGCAACTCCTGTCATGTCTTCTGTGGTGGTAGCTTCATCATTGCTGTTCGTTTCTTGTCCTTCATTTGGATCCATGTCTACATCGTGAGTTGTCTGCTGAATGTGTTGCTGATTGGCACTCGGGGTAGCATCACGTCTACTTTTCTTGTGTGCTGGTGACTCAGTGGTGCTTTTACTTGCTGCAATCATCATCACCATCTGTTGTTGCATCAGTTGTTGCATCAGTTGTTGCATCTCATCCAGTTTTTGTTGCATTGTCTGTTCCATGTTTGCTTGCAGTTGTTCTTGTAGCTCCTTTTGTTCCTTGGCATGTGTTTGGAGAGTTTGGCTCAAGGTCGATTTGATCTCCTTTAACTCTGTTTGCAAAGCTTTGTTGACATTTCTCAAGATATTCTTTTCTCTCACCAGGTCATCTAAGGTGTCTTCCAACTCTTGCTCTCTTTCTGTTTTTGCAGTGTTGGTGCTACTGGCTGCATCAGAGTTGGTCATATGTCAGGGGTAAATGTCATGGTGCGGGACTGACAGCCTTGGAAGTCCCCCGAGACCCCACTGCGCCACCAAAACAGTGTCAAGACTGGATGTATGTCGAGGATCCCGAGGAAATTGAACGCCATCTCCAGGCTCACCTCAAAAAGCATTTCCGGCAGGCTGAGGAGACAGAATTCCGATCCGACTCCACCCTGCGGACCGATACAGACTTCTCCGCCAGTACTGCTACAGCCGATGCAATCCTGGATGGCGAATACGACATTTGCCCATTTGAAACGTCATTTGCTACTGCCGTCCTCCTCAGGCACCTGGCGCGGGCTTGTGACGGTGAGATTCCAGCAACGTTGACACAGGAACAGTTGATGGGAAACTCAAGAGCTGGAATGAGCGCACCACCACCTCCCCCTCTGGGCAACACCTCGGCCATTGGAAGTCACTCTTTGCGGAACACAGCCTCGACCCAGAGTCTGAGGAAGGGAAGGAGCTGGAGGCTTTTCAAACACAGATCAAACAGGCACACTTCAGGCTCCTCAACTTTGCTCTGGAACAGGGCTTTGCCTACTCTAGATGGAACAAAATTGTCAACACCCTCATCCCAAAGGATGAGGGTGGTTGCAAAATCCATCGTCTGCGAGTCATCCATATCTTTGAAGCCGACTATAACCTGCTTCCCAAACGAGACCTGAGGTCTCGTTTTCAGAATTACCTACAATTGCGCTTCTTAGATGAAGGCAGTTTGGTTCCGTTCCAGGGAGGTCAGCAATTGATCTCTGTTATATGGAGGAACTCGAGTATGAAGTATCACGTTGCTGTTTGCACCCCCTAATCAAGAATGACAATGACGCGGCTGCGTGCTACGATAGGATTCTCATGTACATTGCCAGTCTTGCAAGCCGAAAGATGGGTATGCCAGTGCGTGTCTGTAAAGTGAATGGCATGAATCTGGAACAGGCCCAGTACCATATCAAGACCACTCTGGGAACGTCAGTCACGTTTCTGGGTCATACGGAGGAAGATCCCTGGCACGGGTCTGGCCAAGGAGCTGGGAACTCCCCTGCCTTATGGCTGTTTATTTCGAGCACACTATTTGATTGTTTCGAGCCCTATGCAACTGGTGCCACCTTTGCCAGCCCAGACGGATCAAAGCAGGTCAAGCTCTTCATGACGGGGTTTGTGGATGATACGAATTCAAGAACGAATTGCTTTCTGACCAACACTGTTCCCTCAGTGCAGGTATTGGTGGAGAAGGCAACCAAAGATGCTCAATGGTGGAGTGATCTTCTGTGGTCATCGGGCGGTAAGCTGGAGGCTTCGAAGTGTTCCTTTCATCATCTCCGATATGAGTTCAGATCCAGTGGAGAACCAAAGCTGGTCTCGGGGACTGACTTTACACCATCCATCAAGGTGGAATCCACTGATGGGATCGTCACGCCGATCAAACCAGTCGACAACTACAAAGATCACAAGTCACTGGGATGTTTCAAAGGCCCGGCTGGAAATCTTGCAGCACAGAAAGCAGCCTTGATCAAGAAATGCACCCACTATACCAGAGTTCTGAAGGGATCCCCATTGAATAGACGGGAAGCCAACATGTTCTATCGAAGCATCTTCCTTTCGAGTGTGGGTTACTGCTTGGAGACCACCTTCTTCAAGGATGTCGATCTCGATACCATTGAATCGGCTCCACGCCGAGCTGCACTTCAGAAGATGGGGTATCGATCGAATACTGCGAAAGTGATCTGCTATGGTTCCTGGAAGTTGGGGGGTATAGAAATGTTTCGACTCGCTGACAAGCAGGGAATTGGGGTCATTCAGCAGTTCTTAAAGCACTGGAGGACGAGGTGCATTGGAGACCTAAGTGAAGTCACATACGCATGGCTGCAATTCCATGCCGGAATTGGCCGGCCCATCCTTGAGGATCTCGAAATCGATTGTCATCTCCCAGTCGGGCTGTTCCAATGCATGCGAAGGTTCCTTAGGGGTGTAAAATACTCGTTAGTTTAACAAACTATGGCCACGGAGTGGCTTTTGTGACGCGGGCAATTGGTGGGGAAGCCCCCACCTAGCTGAGTCGTCATCTACTTATTTGCCCAATCAACATGACCTCATCCACTGGCCCAACGTGGAGCCAGCACCAAGTAGACAGATGCCCTGGGTAGGGGGGTGAGCACATTGATAGGGAACCTGCAGCGCAAAACCTGGGTTACAGGGGCTTACACAGGATTTTTGTCGGTATTGAAACCATTATCACCATAGGGACCGTGAGGACCAGTTAGATTGCCAGACCAAAGAGTGCTCGCCAGTAAGTGTGTCTGGGTGATCAGGTCCCAAGCTGTGGCAAGGGCCTTGGCATGCAAGGCAAGATGCCAGCAGAGCCCGTAGGAGGTGGTACTCCTCAGGCTGGACCAGAGCAGGGTGTAACCCATCCAATGCACAAAAATTGTTAGATAGAGGCCAACAAGCAGGCAGAAGATGGGGTCAAATGACACACTGCACTGGGAATGAAAAACTCTGCAGAAACGCCCTTTTTGAGTCCGCAGAAACACTTTTTTTCCTGAAGCAGGCTGGCGTGCACTCTGCAGAAGCCCTCGAACTCTGCAGTTCCGAAAGCCGGCATGGCTTTTTCTGCCGGGAGGTGTTTTTTTCTGCCAGGAGGTGTTTTTTTTCTGCCAGGAGGGTGTTTGTCTCTGGCAGATGACTTTTTTTCTGCCAAAAGCACCTGAAAACTGCACAGAATGGCTCGCAGAGTCGATTCATTGTTTGGCAGAAGGATTTTCTGGAGCAATTATCGTTTGCAGCTTGACAATTACTTAGAGATGGATACCAGGCAGGCGTGACGAAACTAGCAGCAAATAAATAGCCAGTCTCTTTTTGAAATCTCAAGGCTGCGATGACATCATTGACATTTAATGCCATGGCACACTTTGGACCTAAGCCCTAACGTCTCTCCTGCAAAACGAGAACCCCCATTAACTGTCTCATTAACCCAGACTCTAAAACGAGACCCCATTATGATGTCGAGGAATACATTAACCCACACTCTAAATCAAATCGAATTCGAACCTATTCGATTAAGATCGACTCAGTCCCACCAACACCAGCATATTTCAAAAGCACGAGTCACAGTGATGACGTGGCCCCTGTTGACTTCGAAGAACATCCTGTCAGGTTCAACTCCCACAAGGAACTGGGAATGAAATAACTGCCCAAGAGAGTCGTGCTTTCATTCACACATCTATAAAACCGTTGGAAAAAGAGAGCAGTTTAGGGGGGTTGGGGGATAAAATAGAGGATTCTACGGGAATTTTACTACTATTTGTGGAAAGAATCGTAGGTTGGGTAATATTTAAGGGTCAATAGTGGGGTAAATACCTGGTTTTCTAGGGCTTTGGGGGTAGAATGGAGATGGCCCGGGGGGATGGGAAAACAGAGAGGGCTTCATGTTCAAATAAAAGAAGGTTTTTGAAGGGGGGGGCTGTAGTTCAATGACCTGGAAGAGCTCGAACGTGCTTTCGAATCCAAGGACGGCCACTTTTTTCGAAATGTCGCTTGCCTCCGGCTTCAAGGTCGGCCACAGTTTTGTGTCATCAAAAAGGTCAGTCAACTGGGAACATGCAAAGTTCCAAATCTCTTCACTAGCTGCATCACCCTCCTTGAAATGGTCTCTTTTCCAACCTAGGAGAGATTTAATTACATCGATGCTCCCCTCCCTGATCATACTTGCAACATCTCCTACCACGCAATCTTTGGCTTTCTTGTTGGGCGCTTGCTGACCTCACTGAGTTTCTTGAATGTAATCCAAGGGAGTTTGAAGGTGAGGTCCTCTGTAGTGCTGACGTGCTGTGTAAGCTCACTGAGGGATTCAATGCCGACGTGATCATCATCATGTCGGTGTACCCAAAGCTAACAAACTGCTCTTTCAAACCGAACTCGTCTTCAATCTCTACATCTGAGCCAACCGACAAATCCTCCTCCATCGACTCCTGCTGCGCCCTGGAATGAACCTGTAGCAAAGAACATAAGTGAGGGGACGAGAGTAGACTCCTGCCTTTTTCTCTGCTGTCTGTGTCATTACCTCCACCTGGGTTCTTCGTTTTTCTGAGAAGGTGAAAGCATAGCACAACACAATAAAAGATGTCTTAGCTACAACTCATCTTATCAGCTGGAACAGTATCCATTTTTACTTACCTTTGATTTCTTGGTAGCTAATTTTTTGCTCGGGTTATCTGAACTGAGCCTTTTCTGGAATAGAAAGCAGTAGAGAGAGAAGGCGATGTATGTTAGCACAAAACAAAAGGGTAAATATTACTTTCGGGTAATGAGGAATGAAAGAAGACTCACATTCTTGGTCTTTTTTGCCATTTGCCTTTTCTGTCTGTTTCTCTCCTCCTCCTGCTGTAATGTACAACGTTTTTGTTAGAGAGTGATTCATGATGGGGGGAGAGCAAAATACATGAGCACCACACTTTTGTCTGAAGCTTTTGCCTTTTCTGCCTGTTTCTCTTCTCCTTCTGCTGTGTATGTACAACTGTTTTTGTTAGAGAGTGATTCATGATGGGGGAGAGAAACATACATGAGCACTCACACTTTTGTCTGAGTAGCAGAAGACCCATCTTTTGCACTCTAAACAAGAGACGACAACGACAAGGGGGTGTGGGGTGGGGGTGAAGTCAGTGAATCCAGGCCACAGCATTAGTCGAGATGGCCTTTCTACTCTTCACTCACAGTGGCCTTGGACGCCTTTCGAAGGCCCTTTAAAGCTTTGGCGGCAGCTTCTTGTAAGAGCTGCTGTGTTTGCGCCTGACTGTCTGTCCCTTTGTCTGTTTCCAGTGTATGCACTCGCCCTCTGGTCCCCTTCTGGTCACTGTGCAAGAATTCAATCTGCTTTTCTGCAGTGGACAAGCGACTGGAAAGGGTCAGCACTGAATCTTGGATAGCTTTGATGCCACTATTGATCTCTTCCAAGGTCACCTACATTGTCGGAAAAAAGGCAGTGTAATTTTTGGTCATCATTAGACGAAAGGGGAAAGCAAAATATCATACCTTGTCAGACGGGCCAGGGCCTCCATGATGGTTGATGTAGCTGTCACATCTGAACAGAGCAGAGTCCTGCTCCCTGAACAAGCTTGACTGGAATTGCGGAGGTGGTGGACAGGTAGTACTAGAGAAGATTCGGGACTGACTGTTTTGCTTCTGGTGCATGTCCCCATTGCCTATGGCTGTGTACTTATCCTGGTCTACACGCCGCTGAACTGGGAGGGGAGAAGGATCATAGCATGGTTAGAATGGGGGATGTCAACGCAACATGTAGTATATTACCAAGGCCCACATTGCCTTGTTCAATGAGGGCAATGCATTCTTCGGTGGAAATAAGCTCCGGAAGGGTTGTATCACTCATTTGAAATGTCCTCGGTGTGTTTCCAACATCACCGGTGAATGGCATGAACTCGGAGAAATCGTTACTGCTGGGGGGTATGATCTCTTGAGTGGGCGGGGCAGCTTGCAAATTCTCATGGCGGGATGTGTCGGAGCAAATGGTGCTTGCGTTTGAAGCGGCACAGCAAATATCCGGATCATCATGCTGGCTAGATAAAGATATCTTGGTAGAAGAGCTGCTGTTAGAGGAACTGGAAGAGAAAGCTGATGTGGAGGGCGTTTTCCTCTGATTTTTAGCTCTTCGAGGAGGCAGTTCCGCACTCTCGACTGATGGTCTTCTAGATGCACCGCAAGTTGATGCCCGTTCTGAAGCTCTCTTGACCATATCGACTTTACCTTTGACGCCAGCTAGGACACTGCATGCTTTGTCTAGATTCCCAATGTTGTGGTATGAGAATGCAATGTCGCTGCTCACCCTCCTTCCGCCTAAAAGCTCGCAGCTCCCATCAATCTGGTTCTCGTTCAAGTATAGACGCTTATCCTTGAGTTTCTTGTTGGTTGGCTTGTTGAAGTTCTTGCGAATGGTCTGGAGTGAGTTCTTGACAACCAACTGGTACACTGCATCTCTTGCACCAAAGGCAGTGTTGTCTCGGTACCTAATACCAAATTCGGTTGTGAGGGCTTCCACAATTTCTTTCACCGTCTTTTCCTTGTTTGAGTTGAGAATTGGGTAGACCACGCTCCCGCATTTCACAACATTGTCAATGTCCAAGTCAGGGTCAATTGTCAGCAACCTGACTAGGTCTTCAAACATGTCAACAAGGTCTTTATTTCTCCCTGCCTTGTGGACACCGTTGTTTCTTGCCCTGGCAACTATTTCGCTCTTCCACCGGGAACTGGCGCTCTCTTGAAGTCTGTTCTTTAGGGCGATGAACTCCTTCTTTGTCTCTCTGTTGATGTCGTCGCTGCTGACTCCAGTAGGATACCCACCCCAGACTTCTCTGATGTGTTGGGTCACTGTACTATCTGGGACATCTTTCCTGGACAAGGGAATACTCACTCTGTTCAACAACAGCACGTCCGATCCTCCAAGCTTTGACTTGGCCCAATCGGAAGCTGGTGCCGGATTCTTCTGGCGGAGGCTGGCCGCAGCTAACACCATGGTGACAATAAAAAGCACAAAGAGGACAGAAACAAAAGAGATCTGGTTTTCGCATCAATGGCTTTTTTGGGCTTGGGGGTAACTGCACCGAGTTGGACTGGCAGCTAATTTCCTGTCATGCCTCTATGTGAAGGAGTGGCCTGCTCGCCATTCGAATTTTAATCGTCATTGTGTTGCCGCCATTTCCCAAGAACCAAGTCTCGGCTTACTTTGTGAAACTGCCTCACATTTTCTCATGATCACAATAAAGTAAATCCGAGAGAGAGAGTGTTCTCTGCTGATAGAAAGAAAGAAGAAAAAAAAAGAAGAAGAAGAAGAAAAAACCATGTCAGGAATCCAAAGACATGTTGCGAAGGACAGGGACCCCTACGAGTGTCCTCAGTGCAAGAAGCATGCTGCACACACCGACCTTGTAGGTAGGCAGCTCAAAAGGGAGCACTCTGACATCTTGGAACAGCTGTCCTGTGAAACACCTGGTTGTAGGCAGAAGCTTTGGTTGGTCTGTACTCTCTGCGCGAGATCGGCCAGCGGTAGAAGCAGGGCTAGTCTCGTCAATTATAACAGTCTGTATGCACATCTGAGGTCAAACGTCCACAAAAGATCAGTTAACTTGAGTGCAAAAGATGGTTGCAAACATCTCGCTGATGACCAGCTGGAGGAGCTGAAGCAACGTAGAGCAATGGCTTACACATTTATTCCTGATGGCACTGCTGGCGAATTCTACAGGCACCAGATCATTCACCAGCAGAGTGGAATTTCGAAGCTGGTGGCTCAGAGCTACTTCAGAAGTGGTTTCAGCTTTGACAAAGACTCTATCAGACCAGACGAGGCGATGGTGGATTTCGCGGCTGCACACTACTACAGCACACTGACCAGAACTCAGCGTGAACGGAATTGTCACATCAATCGCTTCTATTATGAGATGGGAAGGCGTCACGAGAAAGAGACCCGTGATCTCATGGCTGGGCTGCGGGGGGAAGACTACCGCAGGATCCTGCCCCCTTCGAACATTGCTGATGTCAATAGGAGGTACTTCCATGGGAAACTTGCCATCACAAGGTGTCTCCCAATGCCAAACATATACACCACTGAGAACCATGCATACACTTCCATTAGGGAGTGCACTGCAGAGCTCCTGCACAGGGGGACTCCCATGTCTCTCATGACGCTGCAGGATCTTTTTGAACCGAGCCTCTCCATTCCTGGTAAGATCAGCTGGATAACCGAGACCCAAAGGGCGAGAAAACTGATGGTTCGCTCTCTGCAGAAATCGCTCTCGCTAGAGGACAAGCGAATCAATGTATCCTCAGAGCATGACATGGACTTGTTCAAGTCTAGTGTGGTGGGACGGCTCCATACCTTGGGACTCAACTGCGAAGATGTAATGTTCCTCCCGTTCATTATATGGACCGACGGCGTCACCACTTGTTATATCAAGAAAAACAGCAATGTCTGGGCAGGGTCTATCACGCTGGGTCCGACCAAGGACAACTTTAACTCAATGGACAACACAACTGCACTTGTCATTGGGAGAGAAAAGGATCTGGAAGACAATGCAGTGGACCACTCTCATGTCATGGGAATAGTAAACTGTGAAATTCAGACAATAGTGGAGGGACCACCTTCCCAGTACTACTCTCGAGCACACGACAGGGTCATTCATGTTGTGATGGGGCAGTTTGGTTACTTTGGAGACCAGCCTGAGAGAAGGAAGGTCACTGCAACTGCGGCGCTGAAACAGTCATACCACACCAGGTTCAGACACAGAGCTCACCACAAGGAAATATTTGATCTGTTGAAACCCTGCAAACATTGCTTCAATCTTCTCCGGGATGGCACTGAACCAACGAGCTGTGCCAACTGCTGCTGCTGGGATGCAATGGACAAAGGCCCTGTGAAGCCAAAGCTGGCGACATCACCATCCAATGAATACCCAGATCCGGGCGCTCTTGAAGGGAACCCAGCTGGGATCCAGTATCTGTCTTCTGATGGGAAAATTGAACCTGTAGAGCTGTCATATGATAGGTTGCTATCCTCTTTCCAACTTGCTTACCAGAAGTTTGTAAGCTGCGAGTGGTCTGATACTGTCACGGCAGAATTCCTCAGGACAGAGTGCATCGAAGGGCATGCTATCCAAAAACTAATTGCGAATGGCACCAGGGCAGTCACCCTCAGTGATCTTGATGGTATTCTTGACCCTATTCAGAGGGAAGCGGTTCGACAGGATTACCTGAAGAACCCAGACAACTACAAGATGCCGGAACCTAACTCCCACTGGACTCATGGGGACTCAATATCGATGTTTGTTGATTCGCCAATGCACTTGTTGTTTCTTGGGATTGTCAAGACAGTTGTCAAGTCTATCATTGAGTGGATGAAGCAGCAGGGACTGTACTCTGATTTTGTGAAGAGGGCTGATGGTTACAACGAGAAACTGAGAGACCTGAATCTGGAGTGGCTCCCCTTGCAGGACTTCAGGGAGGGGAAGTTTGGTGGATGGGTCAGTGAGAACTACCTGGCCTTCTCTCGAATAATGAAGTGGTTCTTCCAGGAAATCAGGTTTCTGGTGAAGGCATCAGATGACGAGGGAATGGATGTCCCATCTGTGTTACCAAACAAGAACTGGAGGAGGTGCCACTATGTTTACTGGCTCAAGAGCCGAGGACAGACTGTGAAGAAGGGCGAAGTTGTACCCGACCTCAAAGAACGGGTGAAGGCTCTGATCGAACGACCGGGTGGCCCACCAGATGAGATAAGTGGTGCTGATATACGAATAACCTTCTCCAGGTGGATTAGGAGTTTTATACTCTCATTGTCGCGTTCTGGGAGAACCCTGTGCTAGGATTACATCTGTCTGTGGGTTTATGGTTAGTCGGAGTTGTTGTACTGGTTGTGACATCGAAGAGGCCTCTCTCTGTGTAAAGATTTTCCTACCGAGTACAATCTGTTGGACAACCAGATCAAGGCTGACAACAAAGAAAGGCAATCCTGAGTTGCCCCAATTTGCTGTCCCTCATGAATCTTCCGCAATGCTCGAAGAATTTGGTCCATTGAGGCTTCTGTGGGAGGGGTGTCCATGGAGAAAGCTTCTCAGGCTTATCAAACCAAATTTGAGGTTCGCCTTCGCAAAAACTTTGCAGAAAATGCAATGAGAATTGCATGGAAGATTCTTCCTACCGACACTCTTACGCAGCCACACAATCCCGGCTGGATGACGGCTCTTGCTCGAGAATCCCCAAGTGTCTTTATTCGACTGGCGGAGTCTGTTCACTATAAAGAGGCGCAGCGTTCGTAGGTACGAGGCACTTGGTGTGGTCGAGGCGATTCTGCACAGCGAAATGTGCTTTTGGTTTTGATAGTGATAGGATGGTAGGGTATATAAACAGACTCTTGTTTTTGGGCTGTGAAGAAGACAGGGCCTCTGACGAGCTTGCCTGCACCAAATCAAGGAAACATGCCGGATTCACAGGAAGATGCTTTGGTGACCAGTATCTAGATGGGGTACTGCGATGGGAGACTCTGTCCTGTTTCATCCCTTGAAAAGTACTCCGTTTCCTCAATGGAAGTCACCTTTGGTATATCTCTTGCCCAGGATCCAAAAAAGCGCACCCCCAGGGCACACGCTGGTCTGCCCAACCGTCTTCGTATTTAGCAAAGAAAGTAGCTTAAATGATTAAACTTGAGTTGAAAGTTTTCGACAAGGACAATACCGGTAGAAAAGTCGTGTTTTCTTTGTGAGTTGATTGTTTTTGAGTAAAATCGTGATGTCCACTTCACTCTGGTTCTTTTTGTGGAGTCACACCCAACTTCCACGCTCCAGTATTTAAAAAAAAAACGTCCCTTACTGACATCGTTTGTCATTGGTGGCAGTAGTCGAGCTAAAAGTCTTTGAAGGCCACAATTCCCAGATAGCACCCTTTTTGATCCACAGAGAGACAAAAACCAATCGACCATGGACCAAAACAATACGCCAATGATTCATTACCTCCTGATTTTTCTGGGAGTCGAGCACCGCACTGTCAGACTGATGCGTAATGTTTTTGGTGTTGTGGACATCAATCACCTTGGCCTTTTCCTATGCGAGTTTTTTAATGAATCACCTCATGGTATCAATGCATCCAACTATGAGGTGTCAGTCGACGCCATCTTTGGAGGTGACTACTGGCTGGTAAAGAAACTTGTCTATTTCTTTTTGCACTTCACTGCGTTCGCAGCAACGTTGGAGGCGCTCAATTGCAGTCGCGGCGAAAGAGCTCTCTCTTTCTACCTTGGTTACTTGCATGGCTCCCGAGTCAATGGCGACACTAATGCTTTTCAGCTATACATGGAGTCCTTCACTGACCAAAACCCTCTCACCGATGATTACCAGAATCACGAGGTGAACCCTTTCCTTGTTCCCTTACTTCCTGTGGGAGATGCTCATTATCACGCGGATGCACTCGAGACTACTTTCGCAATCAAGCATGTAATCAGCACAACTGTTTATATCTTGGGTGACGTGCAAGTCTTTCGGGCTGGGCGATTGAATGTGTACAACGCGTTGGATTTGGACGACGTTCTTCATGAAGTTTACCTTGCAGCTCAAGAACGTAGCTAAAATCGTATGTCTCCCGGATCTCCGAGTCCCTGAAACTGACTTGACCATCTGTTGGGTAGGTAGATAAAACGCCATTATAGTTCAGTTTCAGTGTCTTTCTGTAAGAAGTGTAGATTTGTGGCTGTCTTCATAAGTTCTGGAGTTCTACTTGTTGGATTGGAATCAATGTAAGGAAACACCTTTGATTGTTTTGGAGTCCACCGTGATGCCCAGTGTGTTGAAGAACGAGAAACTTCCTTCGACCTAGGATAGAAACAGTCGTGCTTCTTTTTGTGACGGTGATTGTTGTGGAGTCTAACAGATTGTGAATCCCATGGAATGTCCATGCTCCCATGAAAGAGAAATGGTTGAGGCTTTTCGACTACCTGTAGAAAGAGTCGTGTTTCTGTTGAGCCGTTGATTGTGTCGAGTACAATCGTGATGTCCCACTTCCACGCTGTGGTCAAAACAATATGAAACGTCTCTCGTTGAGATTGTTTCCTTACGCCACTGTGTCCTCGCTGGTCTATCTGCTCATAAATTTGACATTGGACCTGCTTGGACCAAAATACGGAAGAAGAAGAACCAAATGCAGAACGGACAACTCTACACGATTGCTGACAACAACAATGTCGTTGCGGAGGGGTTCTTCGATGTTGACAATGTCCAAATGAACTGGAATGATGGAGTCCATGATGAGGACCTTCACCTTCCTCAGGTCCGGCGTGTCCATCGTCATATTGGTATGGTTGCGGTAAGTATGAAACGCTTCATGGATGTTACCGCGACGGGTTATGAAAAACTTGATGAATTCGAAGATGAACAGTTCAACAATATGATTCCAAGCGCTGACTGCAAAGCCATGGTGTTGGATCCCGTAGTCGACTGGATTAGCAAAGTCGACAACCATGTCAAAGCGAACTTTTCCAACGAGTACGGCATCAACATTACTTTCTTCCCACATGAAAGAGGCCTTGATGATCGTGGCGAGATTGTTGGTGGTGGGAACCAGAGCCTTCGTGACATCCTAGGCGAAGAGGCTTTCCGCCGTGTGATGGACGTTGTAGGAGTCTTCCGTATGATGCGCCAGGTTGCTCGTGATATCAATGATATCTTCGACCTCAATGAAACGAGACGTGGGGGGGTTGCTTTCATCAATTCAGGTACTGTCTTGGAGGGAATGGATTATCACATGCGTGACATGGTTGAGTGGCCACGAATGTTTTCTGAGGAAGTCGCTGGTGTCTAATAAAGTATAGTAAACCACGCACATAGGCTCACTGTCTAATGCTTCTTGGCCCCACCTAGAGAAAGTGCCCGGTCCCAGTATATCCCCTTGTACTTGCTCCCCTCTACGACATTGCTGCACACTCGATCTAGGGACTCCCTTGTAATGTCAAGCGCGAAGGGTAGATTGGAATCGAACATGTAGCCGCCTACGAAGCTGACACCATGGTTCAATCCTACTGTGCTCATCTTGCCGTTCTTCCCAATGTGGTGGGCCTTGATGACAGCAACAACTG